TATATATATATATATATATATATATATATATTAAAAAATAACAATAAATATGTTATTTACTAAAATAACCTCATCCCTCTCGTAAATCTAAGTACGTTGTAAATAAGTTTCAAATGTATTATTATGAAGAGATTTTTTAAATCATTTTAAATAAGGGAAATCTTTTAAATTTATGGCTTTTAGTTACCACTTTTGTTTTCTTCTTTTTAATTCTAATTTAACAATTGATTATTACTTTAAGTATATAAACCAACGTTTGCGAATAATTTTCTATATTTTGTTTTAGTTTTTTTGTTAATTTTTTTCTAAACAATTCAAATAATACATCAAAACATAAAATAATTCCTACAATCAGTCATTAAAACAATATATTTTCAACATATAATTATTAAGATTTAAAAAAGAGAGAGGTTATTTTAGCTGGTAACGTTGAATATGTCTCCAAATTTATATTTTCTATATTCTAAATGATTAAAATTTTAGTAGTCTTTTAAAAAGAGGAATGTTGTTAATTTTCAAGCTGATACAATATTGTATTACGATAATGATATTATTTTAATTAAATTATTTTAACAAGTAATATATATTTATTGTGTTAAATTACATTTATTTTGACACGAAAAGAGTTTTATTTTAGAAATTACTCCTCGTGTTTAGATATGTCAATTTGGTTCAACCAAAAAGTTTGAATCGTAATTTACATGGTTCAGGTTAAAAAACTCAAGAAAATCAAAATCTTCTCATTGAAAAAGTCCATAACATCAAAATGTTCATAAAAAACCTTGTAAACTAGGGTCAATATATGAGTCTTTATTTACACATAAAAAAATATTATTTTTTTAAAAAATATTATTGAATAGATAAATAAGGCTTAATACCAATTTTGGTTGTCAGCTTTATTTGAAATGGTCCTAATTTTTTTTTTCTGTTCAATGTTGTCCTAAAGAATGTAATTTATGTTCAATTTAATCCTTTTTGCAGACGACGTTTAAATCGGTGCACTGTCCAGCTGTGCAATAAATGACACATTACCCTTGACACGTCATTATCATTTCTTACCTCCAGAAGCCCTAATTTCCCCACACAGAAACCCTAGCCACCACCTAACCCTAACCGCCGTCGCCAAGGTCACGGTCAACCGCCATCTTCACACCTCCATCATCTTCTTCACCACCTAAACCCTAAAATTTTTGAAAATGTATTTTTGATTAGGGTCTCAACTCGCCAGACCACCATCTTCGCGTATCATCTTCCTCGCGCTTCCAAAACCTTAGGCCGCCACCACCTTTATGCAGCAAAGCCCAATTCAGGTTGTCGCTGCCGTAAGAATTGTGCCACTCAACGCGAGAACCTCCAACCACCACATCTCCATCTGCAATGCTATCAAACCTGCAGCAAATCACGAGTCTTCCTCCTCTAGAACCAACCTAAATCGCAAGTTTCCTACAACATTCATAGCCAACAACGAAATCTCCATGGCCGCCACTACTACTACCACTCTCCCTTCTTCAATGCGCCACCGCGACACACACCTTCATTATCCTTGCCAACCCCAAACCTACAAACCACAAGAACCAAAAATCTGCAGGACCATGAGCTTAAATCGCAAATCCCTCTGGCGAACCGATCGACTCCAATGCTTCCACCGTTCGATAGTCTTACCCCTTCAGCCGTTCGGTTCCCTTCTTCTTCTCCCTCACTACTCGGCCTCTTCTTGCCTTCCACCTCACTATGCCTAAAGGGAATCCACGTAGGCAGTTAAATGTCATCTCATTTGGATTTTGCACAACTGGACAGTGCACCGTTACCAATTTAAATGTCGTCTGCAAAAAGGACTAAATTGAACATAAATTACATTATTAAGGACAACATTGAACAGAAAAAAAAAATTAGGACCATTTCGAATAAAGCTGACAAAAATTGGGACCAAAATTGGTATTAAGCCTATAAAAACATGTATGAGAATCAAAACTTCATAGCTTAGATAACTTGGCTCAATTGTATTGACTTGACTCAAACTTCGACTTGGGTTGATTTGTTTTTCTGGGACGACTTGTCTTGATGTTTGGTCTCGATTAACTCATCGCATCGATCGACAAGGTCCACTCAACTTAACTATGATCCAAACTGAGTTGAGTCAACCTTCGACCAAGTGTGACTTGTCTTAACCTGGTCTATTTGTCAGTCTCGACTTTTGGCATAGATCCGCTTGTCACCTTTTGCTTGAGTAGGCCCATCTCAACATGTGGCTCATGTTGACCTGTATCGACTTTCGACTCGAGTTGACCCATCTTGACTTACAGTTTGTAATGAATTGTCTCGACCTTGTACTCAATCCAACTTATCTCGACCTTATGCCCAAACCACCTTGTATCGACCCTTAACAATTCGTCTCAATTTTTGAATTGAATCGACCCGTCTTGACTTTTAGCCCTAAATTAACTTGTCTCAACCTTCGACCTAGGTTAATTAGTCTTGACCTTAAACTCATATTGACCTATTTTAGACAAGTGTGTTTCGGTAAAAAAAAAAAAAAGTAAACAACAATACAAATAAAAATCAAAATTGAATGGCACTCTTAAGGCTGAAAATTCATCAATGAAATATTTGTTAAAAATTCAAGAATGAATGAGTGACACATTAAATAAAAAAAAATTAATAACATATAAAAAACTCAAATTTATTATCTTAAAAAATTTTAGACAGGAGATGATATTATATGTCTTTATAAATTAATTCTATTTCAGTGGATCATACTATTCAAATTATTTTAATGAGTGTTAATGAAGTTGTATGATAAAGAGAACCCATTTGAAGAACAAGATAACAGAGATGGTGATAAACGTTGGAAAAGTTGTGTCCACGCTATTGAAAAAAGTATGAAGCTTCAATTTATCTTTATTTTTATTCTCCCATCCAAAACTTACAAAATCGAGTTCATCAAGTAACGTACTTTGGAATCTAATTCTCCTGCGCTTTTCTTCCCCGATACTTTTTAATCACAACAGCTCCTTTCGTATCAGAAAATTAAAAATAGTAATTAAACATTGAAAGTTATATTTTCAACTCTAACTTATATTATTACCACTCAATGTTGTTTCCAAAACATTTTATTTTTAATTTTTCAATTTTGATATATTTCGAAAAGAGTATTGTGCTTTTATTCCTGAAAAGAACTATTCTTCCTTCTCCATCATATCAGAACTAAGCATCTGTCACCTTACCATACACGCCACTCATGTAAGCTTCTCATTATCTTCTTTATTCTATATATCTTCTTAGCTTCAACTGTTCCTTATAAACAGCCTCTGTTATCGCCTACACGAATCACCGTACTCTACTTCCCACTTGAATTTCCCAGGTAAACTCAATTCTCACTTTCACTCTATCTTCTTTCTTCTCTATATTTTAGCCTCTAATATGTCTCCTGGTTCACTTACTAATACTGGAAAATTGGTTACAGTTACTGATATTCCAAACATGTAATACTAAAAAGTATCTATGTCAACAATATTCTTTTCATGAAAAAGCTTAAACAAAAACGTTTTAAATTAGAAAGAATGATTTTATTAAAAATAATTAAGTATACTTATTTTTATGATCAAGTTTCAAATAAAGTAAAGACCTCATATGTATTAAAATATACATGTGATACAGAATTTCATTAAATTATGACACTTAAACTTTCAAACATAATTAGAAAAAAAGAAGGTTTTACATTATTATTATTATTATGGTGAAGGTTAGAGGGCTTGGAAAGAAGGAAGCAACAGCATGAATCCCGATGTGGCTGCTGCTTCAGATGTACCCAACATTAAGATTAAGATACCAGGAGATGATGAAAGCCATGACCAAACTCCTCCTCCTGTTGCTGCTTCACATGCCTCATCATCCGATTCAGTGGATGAAATTACGAACTCTGTACATGGTAAGTTATGCATACTTGAAACTATTGCATTCACAAGGGTGCATGATCAAACTCTTCGCTACTTCACATGCTGTCACACCACACGGTTTTAATACAATAATATCGCTAGATAGATTTGAGTTTTAAACAAGATAAGTTGCGTGTATATATATACACAGTGACTAAAATTAAGTTTGAAAGGATTGCAGATCTGTACTGGCATGCACTCGAGGATCAGTGGGATAAAATGCTACCCATTGTTGAAAATGATCCAAATTGTGTACGCATTCAATTGACTGGATTAGGCGACACAGCTCTTCATGTAGCAGCAAATGCGGGGAGCACTCGTTTTGTTAAAGAGTTGGTTAAGCTTATGAGGCCAGAAGATGTGCTAATACCAAACAAAGAGGGGATGCTTCCAGTTCACTTAGCTGCTTTATCTTTCCATCACAGAATAGTTCAACTTCTATGCTCTGACCATCTGCTTGACAAAATGGCTTACGAGGATATTAAAAAACTCTTTTTTATGACCATTAGTAGCAACATGTTTGGTAAGTGCATCTATAACTCATTAATTAAACACTCTTCTTTATCCCTTTTTAAAGCTAATTGTATTACTTGTCATGTTTTACTAATCAGCCAACTCGACCAATTCAACTGCTATGATCAAATATCTTCTGTTAAATTCACTATTACTCAATTACAAATTTAATGATCTGTTCAATATTTTGATACAAACCCAGATCAGATTCAATATATAATTTCAATTTGGTAGCAGTTTTTCTTTACTTTATTAGAAAATTTGAGAGTAGACTGAGAAAATTAAGGATACCCCATTTTGTCCACTTTAGATTTCTATATATTCAAACTTTATTCTACTGTGCCACTTTACAATATTACAATTAAAAAAGGATACCATTTCATTTCATAAGAATGTCCAAAATACTTATTAGTTGCATAAAGTTATCCTCCTAATCAATGCATTTACTTTTTTTTTTACAATTTAAATAAATTTTAAATCCTCCTTTTATTTATTTTTAATTGATTACTTTTAAATTTTTTGCTAATAATAACTAGTACTTAACACTTTTATATTGTTTAACCGTGCCTCCGTTATTTAACTTTTTTTTTGTTAACTAAATAATATGACTGCTATTATCATTTTGTTTATTGGTCTCACGATGTGAGTTGATTTAGTGGTTAATATATAATGATATTGCAGTTATGATATTTTTGTTGCTTTAAGTAAAAACATGTTGGATAATAAGAAACATTTTTTTCACTTATGTCAGTGATGGTGATAACGATAATCTTTTGATCGTTGTAGGTGATAAAAGTATTAAAAAACATGACGATATTATTATCTAATATGTTTTTAATGAAAATAATAAAAACTATTTATTTTTTATACTAATAATAATATAAAATTTCACAATTCTTAACATGTGAATAAACATAAGAAAGATAACAAAAACAAAATAATAATTAGATCACCTGATTAGTGAAAGAACTAAATAAAAAAATAAAATAATAAGAACTTGAGAAAATTCTCAACAATTTTTGCAAGCATTACTCTCAATCTTCTAAATTCTTCAAATTTAAAAGACCAGTCAAAACATTTTGCAACTTGTGTGAACATAAAATAGCTCCACATTTTTTCATGTTAATCTAATTACTTCATTATTAGTGAACTCCAATATAAATTTTTTACAATGATATTGATGCGATTTTATTACAAAATTAGAAGAGTGTAAAGTAGAAAATGTATTATTTCATTTGACATGTATGAGTAACTTAATCATCATACATATTTCTTGTCATTTAACAAACTAACCATGATGTTAACCCTTCAAAATGCTTAATGTATATAATTACACTAGAGAATACCCCTTAATGTATACTAACTCATTTTTTTCATTTTCTGGCAACCCTCATTTTCTAATTACTATTTCAAAAAACCTTGTACATGTTCATCATCGGTATTTACCTTGCCTTCTGCACATGCAGTCCATCATGGCTATTTAATTTGTGCATTTGACAGATGTGGCCATTAAACTATTTGAAAAACATCCAGTTGAATTGACCTCTGCAAGAGATGAAGAGCAGCTAACGTCATTGCATTTGCTGGCGCGAAAGCCTTATAAAGTTCTACGTAAGCTTCATTATCTTGGTTCTTAATTTAGAAATTTATGCATCTATATATTTTTAAATAAGAATTACTTCTTAATGGTCAATATTGAGTGTTATAATGGTAATATATTTTATATTTATTAAGTTATCAGTCTCATGATCCATAATTTGTCTTAGACTTTTGAAGCTTTAGGAAATTCTAATTATGGTTTGAACTTTTCTAGAGTAATGGTTTGTACATCATAAGCTTCACTTCAAAGTTTTCAATATAATCCATAATATTATTAAAGTTCTTCAATTATTCTACCATCATTCTCAATTGACAACCGTATTTCAAATATTTTTGACATTTTTTCTTGTTCTTATATACAATGTCAATTATAGGGCTTGCAATAATAGAAACACTAAAAAACAAGATAGAAAAAAAAATCACTATTGTATAGTAGAAGACCGAACGGAAAAAAATCATATTTTAAAACCATATATAGAGTATCGAACAAAACTATAAACCTCAAGTATAAAAGTAAATAAAAGAAATAAAAAAAACTGTTACACTACCATGTATTATCTGCTATAACACTAGTATACAATCGAACACATCATGCAATAAATGTTATAATAAATAAGAATAGTAGAAAATATTACACATGCCAAAGCTATATATATATATATAATTTCAAACAAGACTATATAAACTTCAAGTATGACAGAAAATAAAAAGGTTGTTGCACATCATCTATTATCTATAACACTAATAAATGGTCTAACCCATCATCTAATAGATGGCACAATCCACAAATGAATTAACAGTTTTGTATATGATTTATAGTCATTTTCACACATTCAAAGCTGATTCAAGAAATATAATAAAGTTGAAGATGAAGATGATGAATAAATTTTAAAAGCAATCTCCTTAAACATATGCTTAGAAGTTATTAATAAAATTCTTGTCAGTAAAATATGTGTGGGAAGATGAAGATAAAAATATTTCCCTTTTCTGGTGGTGACAGGTGAATCAAGCGAGTCAGGGTCGAACGAAGAAGAAATAGAAACAGAAGAAGAAAAAAGAGAGGATAAGGAGAAAAAATCTTCGAGCCATAGTGACAGTATTGACAAAACGGAGACAGCATTCCTGGTTGCAGCAAGAACTATGGTGAATGAACTTTTAGAGCGAATTTCAAGTGTGATCCATAACTTGAATGCAAAGAATTCCAAGTGTTATAAGGGTAATATATTTGATATTTATTGTCTCGTGATACAAGCTTATAGCAACTGACAAACAAATATTTACACTTGCAATTTTAAGTCAGGAGTATAGAACTTTCTAGATAGAAATAAAACAAAGAAAAGGTGCTTAATATAAGATCAACTTTTAGTTTGACTTATTTTTTTATTTGTTTTAATGTTAATTTCTCGGACCAATCTAGGGA